CGTTTATTCATTAAACAAGACCTATAATAGCAGAATAAAAGCCTTGATACTATGTTCCTAAAATGGATCAGGAAGATATTGCTAACTCTCCATTGAAGTTTAAGTAAGAAACTCTCGAAGTCAAAGAACTTATAATGAAATTACCTATTGACTGCATGAACTGATTTAGGAATATATCTACCTTTTCAGTTGATAGTTAGTGATAAAATGGTATTATGAAGTCCTTTAATCAAAAATTACTATAAATTTTCGAAAAATAAATGTTTCTTCATACAAAACCCATATTTGTGTTAATTATTATTTTAAATTTCCAATGTGTTTAATGACCCTACATCATCTTTTAGACAGATTATGCAGAATAATTTACTTCACATGAATGTGTAAAATAGTTAGTAACAATATATTGTATATACAATTAACAATTACAAGTAATTAAACTAACGCAAGGCATCAATTAAATGGATGCATACGGATTCTATTACAAAACGTCATGTGACGAGTTACTATTTGATAATTGTATCTAAGACATTAGCAAGTACACATTGTAATAAAACTATGTTTATTAAATTTAGTGTTCTCTTTTATTTTGGAATATTTTATCTAGCGTTTCGACTACTTTTCAGCAAACATGATCAGGGGCAGACGAGACAAAGTCAAAGAGTTTCCCATTGCAAGTGCCAAATATTACAAATCTCTTATTTTATATTTTAACATGCAGTCATTCTTTATATATCTATAACTTCGCACTGGAATCTTAAAATATTTTTCCAATGTCAACGCTTTTATTTGTAAGAAGAAGAAGAAGAAGAAATCTTAAGTACTGTGTTGAGAAAACATGAAGGAATTATGAAATTGGAATAAAGACATTTTCTAAAGAAGACTCTAGTTATATTATACCAGCTCTTAAAACAACAAAAAATATATAAATCCTAACAATTAGTACATACTAAATTCTTAAGGGAACTACGAAAGTTTCGAAATATTCGATGACATGCATTTCATGTAAGTATTGTTGTTCTTAACAAAGTTACCAATATAATATGACATATAAAATTTAGTAGATGTAATATCAGTTTCTTAGATTTATTTGCTAAACTTTAGCGGTTAATCTAAGCTTTCCGTTCATGAATTTAAGTTGTATTTCAGATATAAAACGCTTTATATTATGATTATGTTTTTTGTTTAAGTACATAGATTTACGAGTATATACACCCTCCAAATCAAAAACTACGAATGGTTGTTATACAATAAAAACTATACCTTACAATGAGCGCCTAATCTACATTTCCCTTTAATAAGGTTTAATCCACTGTGAATTCTCTTAAGTAATTGGTATTCTAATCAGGTTATATATAAAGTAAATTTATCACGAGCCTTTAAAATCTTAAATTTTTTCAATGCCTACGTTTTATATGTTTAATCACTCAATATTCAAAGACATTTTATTATCTTTCTAAATATAAGATTCCAGTTACCTAAAAAATGTAGAAACGAGACTTATTCTCATTTTAAAATCATAGCATTCAAATTAAAATTTTACGATCACGAAATTATTCTCTATGAATATTCATACTTTTTAATATTAATTCTATATTTGGCAGGCTAACTTTTAAACCCACTGTTTTTTGGTTATTGGAAATATATTAGTAGATGTTAAAGTCTTCAATATATATATTTTTTGTATGAAACTAACAATTAGTTACAGAAGCAAACGTAATTATTACATATTATGTTTATAGAAAAAAATACCTAGTTAAACACACGGCTAATGTACCTCCTTAGAAGAAGAGCTTTTGTATTAACAATTACTAGATTAATATATGTATTATTACAAGAATAAGCATCACTACGACATTAAATATTATTATCCAATATATTTTTTTAGATTATCTTTTCATTTCTCCTTAATTTGTGGTAACAATTCAATATATATACACAATTGTTGATCGATTTTCTTAATAGGTTTAGTAATTTTTATTTATATTTCATTGTAAAAAAAATAACTCGGTAACATTTCATAATGACATCTAAGATTTTCTCGAGTTATCATTCAAAATTCCTCGTATGCCCGTAATCCCGGTTGCTGCAAAATAACGTAAACGTCGGGAGTATGTAGTTTTTTAAAATAACTAGTTACATTTTAAGGCTAGGTAACTAACGTACCTCGTTTTATATTATCCTTACGTTTACAATTCTGAAATCCCATGAATGTTAAAATTTGTATTCTATTTGATAAATTACTTAAGTTCAAAACAAAAAATAAAAATAATCTTACACAGATATAGTTAGAAGAAAATACAAATACAATCTTATACACTTTGGAATCTTATATAGACTACTGTGCAAGTCCAGTGACAATAAGGAGTGTGTGTTAGTGGTGTAAATAAAGGCGAGGGTACAAATTAAAGGCATTCACTTTGGAAACGTTGCAGGTATTGGATCCTTTCGCAATAAAGGATTCGTCAAACCGTATACTAGTTTAACTTCAAGAGCTTGAGACCCTGACGATAATCAATAATATAGACATTTGTGACGTCATTAAGGCTTTTCAAAAACCACGGTTAGGGCATTTCTCCGATTTATATATTATTATTATACAATTTAGTTTAAATAAATACCCTGTACACAATCATTACGTAATTTTTTTTTTTATGTTGAGTTTACCAAATTATTAAAGAAGCTTTAAGGTGGAACATTAACCAATTTTAAAATTAGACTCCTTTCAATTAAGTCTATTTTTTATAAATGACTTCAAAGCATTCGCCAATATTTTCATACTCTCTTAATAATTTCATAAACTATTAAAAGACATTCCTCCTAATTAGTGTTGAAAAGGAAGCAGTTTTTCATTTTAATGTGCGCCGTCAAATTACATTACGAAAGAAAGTAATAGAAATTGAATTAACTGTGGAATATTTCATGATTTAAATAAAATTATTTAATCGTGAGGTATTATTACCTGCAACTAAACTGAGTAATGTTAGATATTAATATATTACGAGCCGTTAAATACACGACTTCATAATAAGAAGCCAAGAATAACGTGTTCAAAGCCCAAAAAACTCAATTCAAGTTTTATAAAAAAAGGGTTATGTAAGATAATTGTAACTTATCGATTTATTAATCTAGTGTTTCGCCATTACATATTCGGATATTATTAAATTTTGTTTCACGGCTACTAAAATATTAGTGGGATCACAAAAGCAGTGTGCTTTATACAACTCAACGTGCGTAAATTAAAACATAACTGAAATTTATTATGAATACAAGCTGAATATTAATTAATGTACAATATAATTATTGCAATATTCGAGTTTTGCTGTAGTACACATGTACTATGATACCATCGGAATATTTGCAGTGTACGTCATTTAATTCGATAAATCTCATTTGCCTTTGTGTCGTTTTTATAGTTATTTGATGGTATTAAACCAAAACTATTTTTGCATATTTTACGGTTATTATTTCACAATATTAGTAAAATATAATTTGAAATTTAAGACCTTTTGTTTCCGTTATGTTATGTCCTTTATGAAGTTATGATTTTGATATTGAAATTGTTCATAGTTTATTAAAATAAAAGGTGTTTTTTTAAAGTTTCATAGTTGTTCTTGAAAATAAAAAACAATGGCTTAGTTAAATGACGAATCGCACTGAGAATTGTCGTTATATACCTATATTACCTATAACCTGGTTAAACAAGTCCTTCTAGGGGTAGCTAGATTTTTAGTCTTAAATTGTTGTCCACAGTCCAATTATTAATATGTATATTATGTTTAATGATAATGATATGTCGAAATTGCTTACAATTGATGTCCAGGACTCTTTTGTAGATATAAAAAAACTAAACACTGCTTAATTTTCATTTAAGCAGTGTTTAGTTTTTCATGTGAGTGGTCATTAGTGTGTTTTATTTGATCGATTAATAAAACTATTATAATCAGTTTGGGAATAATTTTTCTACGAATATCATGTAGATTTCATTTTTTACAAAAAAAATTAAATAGGAATGGATCATTTGCTTTTCATAAATATATTTTAGAACAAGTTAAGAAGTTGTTCATATAAAAATCGTATTTACAAGGATTAAAAATATTTAGAATAACAGTCGTAATAGCTTAACACTATATTAAAAACTTAATTGAATGACAATATGTTTTATTACGTATATTTTACAAAAAATAATCATTTAAAACAACCTAATTACGGAAATTACTTTGTTTATTTAGTCAATTGAAATAAAAGTTACCAAAATATATAATTAATTAATGAATTGTGTCTCAGAGGAGGGAGTATAAACAATATGAATAAAGTACGATAAACTATTTTTAGTGGAAACTATTCCAATAGTTATTATTCAAGCGCTTATTATACATTTATCAAACAGTTGTGACTAGGGTTGGAACCTACTTTAATTAAATTTTTAATTTATTGAGCACTCAGTGTGCGGCTACAATAATTCTCGAGTCGCATTCTCCTATCTTTTTCTAATTTAACTTGCAACTGCACAGTAACTTTTCGATCATAGGCTGTGAAACACGACTACTTGCTGACCACATAGTAAATTTCTTTTACATCCCTTTTGTTAATTTTTGCACATATCAGTAAAGAAAAGAGAAGTAAATAGACCTAATTTATTATCTCATGTTGGTTTTATATTAGCTCAAAAAGCTTTGATCCTTCGAGTAAATATTTATTTAGTATATGTTATATGTAGGTGTCAGAACAACGCATAAAATTATTAAAGACATGATTCGATGCACTAGATCAGTAAAGGAGTAGAAATATTGCCGCTGAGTTATAAACGATCAACAAAATTGAAACTTATAAGCGAAATGTCTTAGTCTTAATAATAAAAAAAAAAACAGTTCAACAAATACTTTTTTTTCATTCTTTCTTTTATTGACAAGACCTCCGTTATATATGGAACTGACGAATTGATGAAATACTACTTCATAAATAAGCAGAAGTTACGATCTTCTTATCTTTACATTCATTCATCAATCTTTCATCTTAACAACAGATTAACGAGTACGTTGTTCATAACATAACATAAGCCTTCGTGACATACGAGCTCATCAAAGGAAGGAAAACATCAGATTTCTGACATCATTTCATATTTTTTATATTTACAAATGTCACTTTTAGATCTATAATAAAAATGTAAAATTCTGGTTTCCAAGTCTGATTAAAACAAAACGTTTAGACCTTTGGTTTTATGTAGCAATAATGTTACTAAAAATAACGTTGAAATACTACATATATGTACATATTATGTATGTCATATGTGTGATATAAAGGAATACAAATAAATAAAGTTAGAGACACTGCTCAATAACTGAATTGTCGTGGAGATAAAGATATCTTATACCGAAAAATATACATAATTGTATTAACAAGAATTTGTCTAACATTTTTTGTAGTAGACTATATCAAAAGAAATGTATATTTCTGTTGAATGTAATAAAACTACTTTAAGTATATATTTTTCGGCTCAATGAAAATGATATAACTCTTTTACATTATAGAACACCACTTAAGTCAATTGCAATATAGTTTAAATATTATTGCTATTTCAAAAAATCTGAATATTTAAACAGAATAATTAATTTAAGCAAACAAACGGCGCTATTAAAATAGCGAAAAAATAACATAATATCAATTCCGTAAACATCCACTAAATTGATTGCAACAGTAAATAATAAATAAAGCAGATACGCTTTTGTCGATGATAGAAAAATCAAAAAGGTACGATAACTATATGTATGTATATAGTTTTTAATATAAATTTCACACAGTCCTACTAAAAAGCGTTCGGTATTTTCAAAGATTACTCGCTGATGAGAAAAAAGCAACCAATAATTTTTTTACATAATTCATATCTTAGTATGAAGTAAGAGACGACAGACGAGACGAAACTACTAAGCATTCCATGGATTCACCGTGCGGGTGCCGGGTCCATCGCGTTGCAGGGAGAGGAGCTTCAACAGTGCCTGGGACTTGCGACCCAAGTGTAGGTTTAAGGGGCCCCTTAACTAACGCGCGTTATACGCTCACCTCCACTGTCCAAGCTCCTCTCCCTACCTAACCAAATTTGAAAAGAACCTACTAGGGCTGCCTTCGATATACGTTCCAAGAATGCATTAATGTGAGTTCTGGACAAGCCCAAGTCCTTTAGTAGGTTGTAGAGAGATTTCGCTGTTATACCTCTCGCTCCCACCTCTACCGCGTACAAATCTACTACGAACCTATTTCGAGTGAGTTCGTTTGTGAGCTCGTAATATTTGTTGACCTTGATGGTATGGTCTTTGGGGATGTTGGTTTCCCAAGGGACCGTAAGCTCTATCATCACTACGCGCTTTAAAATTCGCGAAAACAAAAATATATCCGGTCTGGAGGCCGACGCACAAATATCCTCGGGGATTTTATATTGTTTTTCATACGTGTCCATCATTATAGTCCAATCCGACGCCGCTTTAAGGATGGAGTAAGGCTTGACGTTTGATTTTGTAGCCCTAGTGCCTTCTCTCACAAAACCTACTGATCGTTCGTTTGTGGTTATTCCCTTTTGCGCTCTGGCTACCGAAAGACTAACCGCTTCACGTATGACTTCTAGAACCCTATCGTGACGACGCGAGTATTGACCGCTGTCAAGGAGTACCTTGCATCCCACCAGCAGATGCTTAGCAGTTCCAACTGCCTTTCCACAGATATAGCAAGTTTTTTCGGTACTTTTACCCCATCTTACTAAATTACTCTGATCTGGGAGAGTCATCTGGAACGCATTGAGATAGAATTTTAGCAATGCTGGCGACCAATCATAGATTAAAGTGCGCCATTTTAATGCTAATGGGATGCAAAAATCTCCTATGTCTAACCACTCGTTCTGCATTTCTAAATTCATTGCATGGATCTTATATTTATCATTCTCGTCTTGCCGAATAAAAGACTTCAATATATCCGCATCTTGGACTTTCCTATTTGATCCTAACCCCGCTCTGTTACTTTGCGCTCCTATCATAAATTGCTTATGGAATTGAAGTCGTGACTCTAGCTCGGGGGCATCTTCATCTTTTGGGAGCGATGTCACTATGTCATCATGGGATTTCCCCAGGATATATCTCTTGGAAACTCTTAGGTGTTTATAGAGCTCCGATGGCCTTTTTAGACTCATCCCAAAACTATTGCTTCCCCTAAATAACGCCGATGAATCAGCCGTTAGGGCGAGCCCGAGCCACAACTTCAACATCTTTATGACGCCTGCATCTAACTTTGACAAAAGGGTTTTATTAAAATCATAGACGAGGAAAGGCCAACTCAAACGTGAAGTTAAGTAATTCTCGTAGATCCACGCTTTTTTGACGTTACTTATCAGTTGGCTATCTACCTTGTTAAGATCGTTCAAAAAGCTATCTACTATTCCTTCTAAAGATGGAGTACGGCCTATATTATCAATCTTACGACCGAGAAATTTAAATGGTGCGTTTTCCGTAACCGTAGAAATGCATTGACCGCCTAACGATAGTCCCGGATCGTATGAGGTGTATCTTGTATTCCGCCTACCAAGACACAGACAATGACATTTACTGGGTTTTGTCCTCAATCCATCCGTCCACTCACAGAATTTATCCACTTCATCCAATAGTACTTGACAGTGTTTGGGGTTACGTGTCAGTATTGCGAGATCGTCAGCGAAGGCTAAAATGGATTCCGTGTATTTATTATTAAACTTAAACCGATAACCCCATTTTTTCTCGTTACAGATTAATTTGTCTACTAAGATGTTAATAACGATATTAAACGTAATTGGAGATAGACAACAACCTTGAAACAGTCCTACATTATAACTCAAACTTTTTGAAGGGCCTTCTTTAGTTATTATAGAAAACCTTAATTTTGAGTAATACGACGCGATCATATCTCTAACTAGGGGTGGAAAGTTGTACCATCTAAGCGCGAATAGCATCAATTCGTGTTGTATCGACCCGAACGCGTTCTCTAAGTCTATCCAACAAACAGTGATTTGCCGCTCGCTTTTTCTAGCATCTTTCAAACTCTCCGACAGCAAGGTGTTGTGTTCTAGGCATCCAGAAATCCCGGGTAAAAACCCTTTCTGGTGATTTGGCCTAAAATAGTTGTTGCTGAGCATGAATCGCGTCATTCTCGTTTGTAGAACCGAGAAAAAGATTTTCGATATAGTATTTGTTAAAGCTATCGGTCTAGTATCTTTCGGATCAGTAACTATATCTTTTTTGGGAATGAGGACAAAAATTGCTTTCCCGAAGCACTCCGGGATTTGCTTCCCTGACCAGATTTTACCGTATATATTTAGGAGGTGTTTACGAACCGATGGACATTTTTTAAAGACTATATATGGGATACCATCGGGTCCCGGTGCAGATTTAGACGACTTCCTCTTGATCTGACTACTTAGTTCCTCTAGCGTTGGTGGAATGCCGTGGAATTCGATTCGAGGAAATTCAGGTTTTTGATCGTTTGGATCCCTATACCGTCTTAAACTTTTAGGCACTTCGTATGTGCTCTTAAAATGGTCGTAAATTTGATCGTTGGTCAAGAGAAGCTGTCCGCGTTCTTTCTTAAAAATGGTTTTCGAATACTCAAAGGGGTTTTTATCGAAATCTACTTATTATATAATTATTTTCTTGTAAAATACGTACTTAAGTACTCAATTATCATTTTTTTAAGAAGTTATAATTTGAAGATAAGATTTACAATAACGTAATAAGAAGCTATTTGATATTTAGTTATTAATTAATATTTAATACTTAGCTACATGAGAATATGTTCCATCAATATTTGTTACATATTTAAGTTAAAGTAAGAAGCTCGTTAAGCGGTTCGATTTGATAAATTTATTTTCTTTTCAAATACCATTTTTCAAAAAAATGTAAACTTTGTTTCGGTATTTGAAGTCACTACTTTAAAATAGTAGATGGCACTTCGTTATCCGTGTCAGAAGTTATTAAATATGTAATAAATTTCACTTTCAATTAAGTTATTATTTTTAAAAATAAGAGCTGTTTTATATGCTCCCAGTTCTTTTTAGTTTGACAATTTACTGACGAATCGTATAAAGTATTGATTTTTTAATTTTTTGTGCACATGCAATCTGGTCCAATGGTAGGTTCTACGACAACGTATCGCGACCCGTGAGTACAATGGTTCACACTCAATCGCGCGTACACATTCATACATACAGATACAAACCTGTTTTTCATTTTCTATGTTAAAATATAGGTGGTAGAGCCTAGCTGTGGTCAGTTACTACAGCTCGAACATGGGCTGGCTCGACCGGGGAAGTACCACCCTCTCACAGAAGATCGGCGTGAAGTAGTCAGTAATGACTGTGTTTCGTCCGATGAGTGAGAGAGCCGGTTGCCCTTTCCCTATTCCTACCCTTTCCTATCATTTCCTTATTCCCACCCCTCCCTATCCCTAAAAAACAAGGTTGGCAACGCATCCGTAACAAAGATGTTGCGGATGTCCATGGGCGATGGTAACCACCTTCCATCAAGTGGGCCGTCTGCTCGTTTGCTACATTTCACATTAAAAAAAATAATAAATGAATTATAAATGTAAATTTTCTAGAAATAAAATAATATAGAATTATACTATAAAGACTAAAGAGCCTCTTAAACATTAAGGGGATTACTATGCACATATTAAACTAAGTATTATTTAAAACTCAAAACTCTGGAGTCTAGAGATAGGTGTGAACTAACGTAAGTAAATAACAAACATTTATTATTTTTATATATAACAGTATATTGCGAAAGTTATTAATTGAATAACTCTGCCGAAATTCTTATTTTCCTCAAAAATAAAATGAGATTCGTTACTCTCTTTAATTTTAGTTGTAGATATATTTTATTAAATAAAATAGAAATATTTTTGCCTTAAGAATTCAGTATTCGACAGCTTCTTCTGACTCTTTAGATTTATACACGTGTCTCGAACATTTTAAGGACCAAAGGTTTATAAAGAAATTGTCAAAAATATCTAAATGTATTGACATGAGTGACTGTTTACGCTGTTATTAAGCTTTTAATGACCCCTTGTAAACACTAAATATGTATAAATATTAATATTTTTCTTTCCTATTTGTATACGATACTATTCACTGTTTAATTTGCACATTAATTTATTCAGCATTTCGATTGGTTTCATAAGTTTTTATAAGAACGATCAGATTAAGTAATCAATTTAACGTTAAATACATAGGGTAACCCAGTAAACTAATAAAAAAATCTTGACTGGATTAAAATTATTACAAGATTTACTCGTTTATCGAAAACGATAATTTGTCATAGATTTCAATTATAATCCAAAATTAAACATATTTTATGTGCAATAAAAAGCTCCTACTATATTGACGATAATAAAATTATAAGGATTCTTAAAATTAAAGTAACTAACACCATATTTAACCCAGGCTCGCGCTGGGAGGAATATTAAGCGCCATGATGTATCTACCTGTAAATGTTTGTCACACCTAGTTTTAAGTTATGTGTATTGTGTATTTTAAGTATGTGATGATGTGTACAAATGTTGGTAGATCAAATTAATAAATAAATATATATTTTAATAAAAAAAATAGACCTTGTCTACAAGGAATTAATTTTTTTTAAATGATTATACATTTTAAAACCGTTCGTGTTCTTAGAAATTATAAATTAATATAATATTAAATCCATTCAGCAGTGGCAGTCTACACAGTGAACTGTTATATGTACATGACAGGTAAGGCTATTTATATATTATTATTCATATATTCTCAGTTCACTTACTATGTTCTACGGTTGTAAACTTTCAAATTATTTTATAAAATATACTTAAACATCTCATTGACTGTATGTTCTTTTCTATGTATTTATTTAATCATCTCTTTTTTATTATTATTTCTATCCGATCTTTTTCAGTGTCATACTTTGATATGGGATTATTTAATAGTTACTTGAGTATCAAAAGGTGACGATTTTTTTTAAGACAATTGTAATGATGAAAAGCAAAAATATCTTTTTAAGACAAAATAAAAATGTTTAAATTTGTTAAAAATATTTTCGTTAAATAAAGAAAGTAAAGAAACTCAATGAGCTAAATTGATATTAAAATATTAACGTTTTAAAAATCATTCTTACGAAAAAAAATCATTATTTAACATTTACTATATAAAACGGTAATTTATACATTTTTTCTAGAATATTTAAATGTAATACGTTCTAGCTTGTATTTAATTTCTCAAAGCTGAAAACTAAATTTCTCTAAATTAAAACGACAATTTTTTAATGGACAGATAGCAATTGATCTTACAACATTTTTCATACGACTTATTTTTGTAAAGTGAACGTAATTAGGTTTTTTTTGTATAATAATTTAAGACTTTGGTCCTATGTATATGATTATTTTGTTAAATTCATATTTTTCACAGTTTCAGGCAATTATTTTAAAGAATTATTTTCGAAGATTTAATGTTTTGTAGACAACAATTATAAGTTATAACTTATGACTAAATGATTCACAAACCGTAACCACTTCAAAATCAATCATTAAACTGTAAAAATAACGAATCTATATACCTAGTTCCTATTCGCTGAATTATATTTTAACATAATAGTAAAAAAAACTATAATTTATTTATGAAGCGAAAACTTTGTTTTCCTTTTTAAAGGATTACGGAAGGGGATGAACGTAGCAACAAGTCAGTTTTTTTTTTATATAAAACGAATTATTTCATGAAATTATTTAACATATATTCGTTACTTGGAATTTACTTTGTCGTACACTTATAATACATCAATTCGTGTTAATTCCTTATTGTTTATCACTAAATGTCAAACATGACATTTCTATTTGAATATTGAACTTGAAAAATGAATCTAATATATAATTATATTAGTCGACCCAGTGATGTATAGTATAAAGATAGTATTAAGGCGTTTTATAATAGAAATCAGTATGCATCAAATAAATAGAGCTTTGTCTTCTAATTAATACCATGTTCATATTATGTTTTGCGAATGTGGATGGAATACTCCAATACGTGCTTGCAAATTATTTCATATTATATGATAATTTACAAATTTTTTTTTGATTCCTTTAAAATTTAGTGCAATTTAAAGAAATACATATAATAAATATATATTCACCAAATTTTATTCTTCGTTTAGTTTTGTAGGAAATGTAAGTTTGTTAATTGTGTTGTGTTTATTGTAATAATCTTTTGACTCAAATTAATGTTATCATTTACCAAAATATTAATTATTAATGTTCAATAGTCAAATTTATAACATTTACCCGTATAAACTTAATTTAATTTCTCATTCCCAAATATTTACTTAAAGTGAATACTAATTAATGCGACTTCATACAATCACTTGAGACAGAAGAGGTAATTGGAGCTAATAAATACCTTTTAAATAATATTAATTTTTTTTCATGGGAATATTCGAGCTGTAGTTACTTAACTACAGCTATTCTCTACCACCTCGAGAATAGAATAGAGGTTTAATAGTGTCTTTTACAAAGACCAGCATGTTTGTTTTAAATGCTTTGCTTATTACTCAAACGGTATAACTTACACGACACTGTTTTATTTAATTCAATATATAACAACAAACAAGAATACTATAGTATTCAAGTATACAAGGATAGTAATCCTAGTATGTAGTAACATACATACGTTTTATTCCAAGGATGTTATATACGTTTTACTATACATACATGTTTTATTGCAGGGACTTTCTTACCGCGTAAGACAGATTGACTGCCCCCCAGTTCAGTTACCGTTTCATCACCAATAACACCCAATTTTATTAGAATATACACTTTTTTTAAAAACAAAACTTTTATGCTATAAAACTGCACTAATAATAAAATATTAATATTTGGAACTTGAATCAGATATCTTAATAAAAATATTTTTAATTTATTAATTTTTGCAAAAATATGTTATTAATTTATATATCTTCACTACACCCTTATTTTTACTTAAAATCTTAATATATAGGAACAACGTTGCCGGCAACGTTAAATACTTCATACTTCGAAAGTCATATGTGATTCAATTTCTGTTAATAATTTGTCGGCAAATGAAATTCATGATTGCTTCCTTTGAAAGAGTTATAAACAGTGTCTTTTTAATGAGGAAAATATTATTTTAAGTTTTAAAACATTATGTAGAAGTTCGCATAAATTGAAATAGTATTTCTAAGTAATATATTTCTATAAACTAAAGAGCTAAGTCTATTAAGGTGATAGCTACATAAAGCAGCATTAACAGCTATGTGATTTGACATTAAAATACTTTAGACACTTCTCCTGCTTTTCTTCTTTTTACGTAAAATAAAATCAAGAAATACAGAAGTGGATCAGTGTTGTTTGTTGAGTTATTACTCATAAGCATTTATAAAATATATAATGAAAGTGAAAACATATATTTCATATTTACAGATTAAAAAAAGTAATCATAGTATTTAAAATAAATATATCCGGCGTTGAAGCGGCTTACTTCTTTAACATTAAACCATTTCTAGAGTTACTGTAAATTACTTTTTTATATGATATTAAATCTTGGTC